ATTCATTTCATTGGCACACAGCCCATTTCACCTCATTGGCAGACAGCCCATTTCACCTCATTGGCAGACAGCCCATTTCACCTCATTGGCAGACAGCCCATTTCACCTCATTGGCAGACAGCCCATTTCACCTCATTGGCAGACAGCCCATTTCACCTCATTGGCAGACAGCCCATTTCACCTCATTGGCAGACAGCCCATTTCACCTCATTGGCAGACAGCCCATTTCACCTCATTGGCAGACAGCCCATTTCACCTCATTGGCAGACAGCCCATTTCACCTCATTGGCAGACAGCCCATTTCACCTCATTGGCAGACAGCCCATTTCACCTCATTGGCAGACAGCCCATTTCACCTCATTGGCAGACAGCCCATTTCACCTCATTGGCAGACAGCCCATTTCACCTCATTGGCAGACAGCCCATTTCACCTCATTGGCAGACAGCCCATTTCACCTCATTGGCAGACAGCCCATTTCACCTCATTGGCAGACAGCCCATTTCACCTCATTGGCAGACAGCCCATTTCACCTCATTGGCAGACAGCCCATTTCACCTCATTGGCAGACAGCCCATTTCACCTCATTGGCAGACAGCCCATTTCACCTCATTGGCAGACAGCCCATTTCACCTCATTGGCAGACAGCCCATTTCACCTCATTGGCAGACAGCCCATTTCACCTCATTGGCAGACAGCCCATTTCACCTCATTGGCAGACAGCCCATTTCACCTCATTGGCAGACAGCCCATTTCACCTCATTGGCAGACAGCCCATTTCACCTCATTGGCAGACAGCCCATTTCACCTCATTGGCAGACAGCCCATTTCACCTCATTGGCAGACAGCCCATTTCACCTCATTGGCAGACAGCCCATTTCACCTCATTGGCAGACAGCCCATTTCACCTCATTATTTGACATATGTGTTCATTCTGAATGCAGGCTTGCTCCCGTAGTGTGCGGGGGTATGGTTCTACCATGGCGCGGGATTGGTATGCCGAGCTCCCGGAGGCCGTCCGAGACTTAGTGGACTTGGCAGGATTTGGGCCCTTCTGCGTCGGGTTGTCACGTTGTCCTGCCAGGAGGACACTGATGGCAGCTCTAGTAGAGAGATGGTGGGACACCACCAATTCCTTTCATTTCTCTGCTACTGGGGACATGACCATGACCCCTTTTGACTTTGCTGTATTGACCGGCCTTGACGTCGGAGGTTGGTCCATCCCTTACGATGAGGATATGGGCGAGTGGGAGGCCGCCTGGATGTATTTGTTGGGGGCTTGCCCACCCGTTGATAGGGTTTCAGGGAGAGTCAGATACACTTGGTTCTCTTCCCATTTCCGGCGGGCGGAGATGGTGCCTGAGAGTCCCGAGGAGACGGAGCAGTATGCCCGTGGTTTCCTGATGTTCCTCTTCGGGACTACCCTGTTCGCCGACAGAGGGAACACAGTTGGGCTATATTTGCTGAGCGCTCTAGTCGACCTATCACAGGTCCATAGATATGATTGGGGTGGCGCCGGCCTGGCTACCCTTTATTTTTACATGAGCGCGACCTCCCGCGGGCGGGGCGATTTGCTTGGCGGCTACTGGAGAGCCTGGGAGGTACTTTCTGTCCCCTTGATTTACATTTCTGCTTCTCAATACTTGTACATTGCACACACAGTGCACTTTTACAGTCTGTATTTTGCTCTCAGCATCTCGTACTTACATTCTGCACTGCTTTTCTCAGCTATGGGTGTATGTATACTTTCCATCATTAGCCCCTGAGCTGGAGGTGGTAGGGATTCCCGTGACCCCATATTCATTGATATTCGAGGGCCCGCACCAGCCGAGACCTCGAGAGACCCTCCTTCGCCTGCGAGAGTACTTCGACACTGTGCGACACTCAGAGGTACTTCGGAACTTTCAGTTCTTTTCATTTTCATCTTTGATTTGTTCTGTACATTCTCGATTTCTGATTGGTTTATGCATTTATCATCCGCAGATTACATGGCAGCCTTGGGCGCCTCTAGGTGATGATCTCCGACTTCAGTATACCGGAGCATCAGGCATCTCCCAGTATAGGGTCCTGTTCGAGGGGCCGGTTGGCAGGGTATGGTTCCTGGGGGAGCGCTTTCTGCGCCAGGTATGGGGGTATCTTTCTCAGGATATTCCCGCAGTACCTCCAGCTAGTATGCGGACCGCGGACCGGCTCTCTTACTCAGAGGTAGTCGGCGCCATGCTGGGTAGTGAAGCTTTACTATATATTGAGGAGGGGGACTACGCCACTTACCGTCACATATATTTGATGCCTCCATTGTCGGAAGCTCGTATCCCGATGATGAGGCCTGCCAGTATGTCATCCTCGGGTCAGGCTCAGGCTCGAGCTATAGACATCCCTTCTTCTAGCAGAGCTGGTACATCTAGAGGTGGGAGTAGATCGGTTCCTCCAGCTCCGTCGATTCATCCTCATGTCGGATGGCCAGATATGCCCACTGAGTTGATGGCATGGCAGTATGGGGCTAGCTCTCCGACCCCGATCCCACTAGAGCCTCCGATGCCCAGTGATCGATACGCCATTGATCCTGACTCACCGCCGGTATGCTCCACTTTTTCATTTTCATCATTCAGATGTTTAGACATTTTTGTTCACTGATGATTATGAGCTCATTTTTGCAGCCATCGCGAGGGTACATGGAGGAGGTGGTTGGACTGGTGGCCACACTCGAGGGCATGGTCCTGCGTAGGGAGGCACAGTTGTCTGTCGCGGGCATCCAGGTACCCTTCAGTTTTCTGGCATTTATCATACTTCTGATGACATGCTGATTTCTACTGCATCGATAGACTACTCGTGTAGAGTACATCTGACACACACCCCCACTTATATTCTGTATTTACATGCACCCATTTCATGTAGCCTTTGCTTGTGTCTGCATTTGATGTACATATTTTGACTGATGTATTTGAATTGAACTCTTTGTTTTCAGATGCCTTCATGGTCCGGTCAGCCACAGGCCAGGCCACCTGGGCCTCATTGGGGAGCTGGGCCATCTGGGCCTTTTCAGGGGGCGGGGTCATCTCGGCCTTCCCGAGGAGCCGGGCCGTCTAGGCCTCATCGAGGAGCTCGAGGAGGGCCTGTCCGCAGACGCAGGGCTCACGTTGTGGAGGTGGAGCCTGATGAGGAGGAGGAGGAGGCTACCGACCGTCAGTTCGAGACATCTGTTGAGGAGGGAGGCTCCGGTTTTGGCTCGGGGAACAGAGGCGAGGCTGAGGAGGATCCTGAGGATGACAGCTCCGACTCAGATGATGGTGTGGAGGTCGTCCCGCAAAAGAGGACGAGGCGTGCTTCTCGTTCCCGCTCCCGAGGACTTTGATGCTGCTATTTCCTGCTTTATTTTTCCTTTACTAGTAGTTTGTAGCACTTTGCACATTGTTAGGCAGTTTTATTTTTTGTAAAACTTGTACCTTTGTTTGTTGTAAAGCATGATGAAATGAAATAGCTTTTGGAAAGGTGTTTGTACTTTTAGCATCGTATTGCATCAATTTGTTTTGCACAAGAATGAAATTGAATGGTAATGCGCATTGTGTAATCACCAAGTCAGGTAGTGAACCGACGCAACAAACTAAACAACTCAACTTACTAAGATATAACAGAATCTTTAGCAAGTTTACAACTGATAAGCCAAAATACAACAATGTTGACAACGCAAATAAACAAGACTTTAGACAAAGATTGCTTGAACAGAGCGCAATGACTCAAAAAACACAAAACACGTTCGCTTGACAAACAACTCGATAAGCAAAACAACAACTCAATAATCAAAACACCTCAACAAAGACAAAGTGTACTTCTGACGATCGGAACGCATCCGAAACGGAGGGAGATGAAGGCCTTTGACTCTTCCGTTGCGACGAACAACTCGATAAGCAAAATGCAACAACTCGATAAGCAAAACTCAACAACGACAAAGTGTACTTCTGACGACCTGGGCATCGGAACACATCCGAAACGGAGAGAGATGAAGGCCTTTGACTCCCCCGTTGCATGGAAATGCTTGGAACTTCTCCTCGAAGAGTAAAACAGGGCCAAGGAGATACATTGCAGCATTGCCAGCCACCCCTGGGAGCTGGCCGACCATTTTTGGTGGAGAGAGACAGCTGGCCGGCCATTTCTGAAAAAGTAAATGGCTGGCCAGCCAGAAAAGGTGGCCGGCCGGCCACTCAGTCCTGCAGCCACCAGATTTTTGACACGTGTCCCCGTGAATAGTGTCTTTCCTTCTATAAAAGCCTCAACTTCGGGAACATTCATTTCATCTTAGTTTTAGACAAAGATGGAGGCGTTTCTCACAAGGGGTCAAAAGGGTCAGGTGACCTTAATGGCGGCCACCAACTTTTAGTAGCCTTCCAGGTGTGTAGATCACAGATATGTGGTTGAAAGTTGGCAACACTAGCTCCAAGGTATTCAATATTACCCGGAAGTTGGAAAAACGGCGCGGGAGGCTCCGGAGGAGAGATAACTGGCTGCTGCAACAATTGCTGGCCTCCCACCCTTCAGTGACCTTCCTGTTGATAAAACAGAGGTACCTGCTAAAAATGAGCAAAAACCGATGCAAAACGAATGTTTCGAGGCCAAAACACGCAGTTCGGGTCCCGGAAATGGGCTGTTAAGCACCGAAAATGGAAATCGGCCACGAAGTGGGTTTCTCAGACCCCAGTGTCCCTCAAAAGGGATGAAATAAGATGTATGCCAAAAATCAGAGCAATAGGAGATGGTTAAGCGGTCCCAACCGAGGCACACGGCCTGACGGCTCCGAAAATCGGGAACGGCTCCGAAATGGGAAAAATGGCCTACGGCCACCAAATGTAGCCTAC